AGTTGCAGCGGGGTGGGGAGACATCATTTGAAGTATGACCATCTAAAGCAGTGTTTCCCAAACTTGGGTCTCCAACTGTTTTTTGGACTACAACTCCCATTGTCCCTAGCCAGCAGGACTAAATGGTCAGGGATGATGGGAACTGTAGTCCAAAAACAGCTGCATTAGGCACTGGAACCAGAGCATGGAACATCCAGGGAGCTGTCTCAAGGGATGTTTTAATTCCACCCACCATGGCTGGTGGAAGAGACTGGACAAGCAATTCTCCTCAGGCTGCATCCTGCATTTTAATCTGTTTTAGCATTTTAACTTTCATATGTCTTATAAAGCTAAGGCTGTCAATTTCCCTTGATTTTATTGTTTTATCTTTTTGCAAAAAGCTTTCGAGGTCCCCCCCCCCCTTTACAATCTGGCAGTGTATAAATTTCATGAAAAATATAGATAAAGCTGCCTTGGAGGAAAGGTGGAGGACATAGATGCAATCTATAAATAAGGTCGTCTCGTGAAAGTTGCGGCTGTGGCAAGATTTGAACTCAGGACTTCCCAGCTCAGAGCTGGGTTTACATCACTGGCACAACCTCCCAAACCCTGTCTTCTGGGCTTATGTGCTGAAGCATGCAGAATACTAATAAAGAATAACATGCCCCAGATCATGGGCAGAGTGCTTTTCTGTCACCATCACAAAGATTCACAGAATCAGAGTTGGAAGGGACCCCGAGGGTCATCTAGTCCAACCCCTTGCAATGCAGGAATAGGCAGCTGCCCCTTGTGGGGAATCGAATCTGTGACCTTGGTGTTATGAGGATCATGCTCTAACCAGCTGAGCTAACCACCTTGAGATGAGGAGGAATGGGTTCTGGGACACAGAAAAGCTTTCTAAAGTGTTGAATCCTTGAGAAATTAAATTTTGGCTCCAAGGGTGACAGACAGCTGGCACTGCCCAAAGGGCCCCCAACCTAGCCTTACCTGGCAAGCAAACCTCACCCCTGAGGCTGAAAGTAAGGGGCTGGGAAATCAACACAGAACCACATCTGTAGGTGCCTGCATGCAGCTGGATCAAGGGGAGACAGTGTGGGGGATCTGTCAAGGTGTTACAACTGCAGGATCCCACTTAGGGCTGCCTCAACTGCTATCAAGCAACTCCCCTATGGGGAAAGGTTACAATCTTCAGCACGGGTAGGCAAACGAAGGCCCGGGGGCCGGATCCAGGCCAATCACCTTCTAAATCCAGCCCACAGACAGTCCGGGAATCAGCGTGTTTTTACATGAGTAGAATGTGCCCTTTTATTTAAAATGCATCTCTGGGTTATTTGTGGGGCATAGGAATTCATTTATTCCCCCCCCTCCAATATAGTCTGGCCACCCACAAGGTCAGAGGGACAGTGGACCGGCCCCCTGCTGAAAAAGTCTGCTGACCCCTGATCGTCACGCTAGGGATACAGAGGCAAACAGCCTCCAACAGTGGAAGGCAAACAGCCACTGTGGCTGGTAGCCACCGACAGTTTTATCGCCCACCAATTTGTCCAATCTTCTTTTAATGCCACCCAAGTCAGTGGCCATCACTGTGCGATCAAATGCCACCAGCAGATCCACACCGCACATTTAAAGCACATTCAATGCACATGACTCCCCCCCCCCCAAAAAAAGAATTGTGGGAACTGTAGTTCCCACCCACCATACTACAATTCCCAGCACCCTTAACAAGTTCCCAGGATTCTTTGGGAGAAGTCATGTGCTTTGAATGAATATATGGGGTGGATCTGACTGCAATTCACCTGTCCCCCATGTGAAAAAGTCATTTTTCTCTGTCCCAAATCTCCCAACAGTCCACTCCATTGGATGCCCTGAGTTCTAGTTTTACGTAAGGAAGCAAAACAGCACTCTAGCCACTTTCCCTCAAACCATGATACATTCTGCACCCCACTTGCTTTGCCCACCCAAAACATCGTAACTTTTCCTCGCAGGGGGAGTTGCTCTCCACCACCTCCTTGATGTTGCCCTTTTCCAAAGCTTTTCCAGGGCCTTTTGGAGGTGAGGCACCCAGAACTGTCCATGGCACAGTATTCCAAGTGTGAAGAGAAGCCTTGTTTCAATGTCACACGACTTTTATTACTTCCAAGTAAGGCTGCAGCATATTTGGGATCCAACAATTAACAACAGCAACGACAAAAGCCTCAAGGAATACAGAGTTACCTCCTACAATTGCATACAATGTAATCAGTTTGCTGTGAAAAAACACAAAAAACCCAACACCCTGGGGCAATGCACCCATTTTGGAAAGCCTTGCATCCTGATTCGATGCATGCTTAGAAGGAAGATTCCTAGGCATTTTGGTCACCTCCACCCTGCATATTTAGAGCAGTCTTATACCACTTTAGTAGCCAGATTCCCCCCAAAATATATATATTCTAGGAACTGTAGGGGGTCAACTATTAGCATTGTTAACAGTTCCCAGGATTCTTGGGGGGGGGGGGGGTTGTGACTGTTAACAAGGTATAGGAATACTTTGAATGTATGGTGTCAATGTGACTAAATAGGACCGACATCCAAGTAGACACAGTGTTAGGCATGCACCGTTACTTCCTAACGTGGCACAAACAGGACTGTGACGGAAGATTTTCTTTTTGAGATTGCCGAACTGGACTTGGGAAAGTTTAGTCTCAGAGGAAGCAGTAACCAAAACAAAAAACCCCAAGAATAAGAAACTCATCAAATGTACTGGACTTCAGTGATTTTTCAGGCCCTGTGTTTGCCACTGATGCTATTGTTTCAGCCTTCTCCAGTCTCACACCCTCCGGATTCTCTGAATTAAGTCTCCCACAGCTGGGCTGGGCTGATTGGATTTGGTCCTGAATGCCTGGAGGGCACTAGATTGCCTAACTCAGAGGTTTTCAGCCTTTTTGAGTCCAGGGCTCCCCACCCCCTGCCCAGCCCCAGAGGCACCATTCACCTGGGGAACTCGCAACAAACAGCTGTACAAGCCTTTGGGAAGCAGAGATGTGAGAGGGCATCAGAGGAGGGAGGGAAGGAAAGAGGGGCAGAGGCCAGTGTTGCCCACGGCACCCCTGAAAGGAACCCCAGGGGGCCCTGGCACACTGGTTGAAAACCACTGGCCTAACTATTTGGTGCCCAGCCAAGGAGGTGGGGGCACAAAGAGGATGGGGAGGGGGGTGATCCAGACACTTACAGTGCCACTTAATCCATGGGGGGGGGGCATAACATAATGGGAAAGCACTGACTCAACCCTTGATTATTTCAAAAGTCCTATTTGATTCCCCCTTGAAACAGACCCTACCGATCCCAAATTCCACCCCTCCCATGGCCTTTGCTTGGGATCAGTGCATCTGAACTCTCTCCCTCCCTCCCTCCCTCCCACCCACCCCCTTCAATTGTTTGACTGAGCTTTGTTCTCCGTGTTTACTGAAGTTTCCCATTCCAGGTAGGGAGGAAAGGGGGCTGGGGAGAATGCAGCCCTGCTCCACTCGCAGCCTTTTTCTCCATCAAGGCCCCTTATCCAAATCCCTTGGTTGGTTCCTCTTTTCTTTGGGTGGGGCTGGAGGGGAGAATATTGATAAGACAGCACAGCCTGGTCATATGCATGATTTCCCCCCTCCGCACAAGCAAACCTCACCTTTTGTTTTCATTTATTCCTAAATGAACAGAGATTTTTTTCCTGGTGGCGGTGTAGCCTGGTTTTCCAGCAAATTAGGGGACTAGTGCTTGCACACTTTATCTTACATCTCAGGTTCCACAAATGCCCCCCCCAAGCAGGCACATGGCTTCCCCCAAAGAACCATGGGAACTGTAGTATACCCTCTCACAGAGCTACAGTTCCCAGCGCCCTTAAGAAACTACAGCTTCCAGGATTCTCTGCAGAGAGCTATGTGCTTTAAATGTATGGTGGCCTTACTCCTTTTTTCCTTTTAGGTGAAAACTGAGAATCTGGGTTTGTTTGTTTGTTTGTTTGTTTGCTTGTTTAGTTAGTGGGTTGCTACCAAAAAAAGTCTGAAAGTGACTTAGTGCAACAGATAAAAACAATTAAAACAATAACATTTAGACTAATGTACAATACAAAATATCTAGATTATAGGATATGGGTTCATGGGAGGGGCAAGGGGGGCAATTGCTCCCCCCAATTTAGGAAGAAAAGTCCGAGGGGGAGCATAAAAAACCGAATTGCCCCACCCTCCCAAAACAGAAAAAGAAATGTGTGCGTGGGGGAACAACAGCCAAACCCAGGCGCCATCCTGGAAAATCGTGGGTGCTTTAAGCACCCGCCCCCTCCTTCCCCCTCTCAAACCGGTTTGGCAGCCAGGTAACAAAAGGTAAGGACACCGTTATTTCCAAACGCATGCGCCATCCCCACCACACCCCCAAACATCTGATCTAATTAGAGGCAAGGAGAGGGACGAGTTTTGCTGGAGTCTCTCATTCTCCTGGCGCAAACAGCCGAACTCGCGTCTCGTTGGGGTGGAGGAAAAAGCATCTCCCCCCCCCCCCCACCACAACAACAGCGAATTCCACCGCGAGCGCGCAACTAGCCGCTGCCCAGACCAGGTGGAGGTGGAAAAGAGACGGCGAAGTGCGAGGGACTTAACCTGCCCGCCTCGCCGGCTCCCTCCCACCTTGCTCGCTGTACCTTGACCCTCCGAGTTCAGCCCGGCGCGCCAAAGACGAACCGGCTCGCGGGGACGGGCGAAACCGAGCGGCTTTGGAACGTTCGGCGCGCGGGCGTTCCATCCGTAGAACGCCGGGAAACTTTTTTTGTCTTTCTGAACGTTCTATCCGCAGAACGTCGGGAAACTTTTTTGTCTGAACGTTCCATGGGCGCCCGTTAATAACGAAAACTAATAGGGCTTTTTTTTTTTGCTTTGTTTTGTCTTGAAGTAGCGGGGGAAGAGGAAGTGGGCCAGGAGTAAGGAAAAGAGGCCATTTTTGGGGGAGTAGCGGGGGTTTATTTATTTTTTAAATTTTTTAAGCGCTCACCAAAACAACTTAAGATGCCCAGAGCTTTCCTCGTGAAGAAAACTTGCGTTTCTACCGGCAAGAGGAATTGGAGCGAACTTCCCGATGAAGAAAGAGGCGAGATTTACGTCCCAGGTGAGTCTTGGAGGAGAGGGATCTGGAGTGCGGCGAAACAACGGCCGCCGCGGCTTTAGAATTAAAAAACCTTTGCTTTCGAGCGAGTTTTAAATTTTATTTATTATTTGATTTTTTTAAAAAAAAAATTGGTTTAGAGATGAAAATACCTCCGGGGTGGGGGAGGAAAGGAGAGGAAGGAACCAGGTGGCGCATAACGGCCACCATCGTTGGAGGGCAAACTTACGGGCTCCTTCGGGGCTCCGGCGCATTCCGGAGAGGCTCCGATCCCCACCCACTTCGTTTCCTGAAGGAAGGAGGGGGGTGTCTGAGGGGAAACTGGGAGGAAGGGGGAGCGCGGTGGGTGAGGGGGAGGAGGAGGAGCAGGAGGAGATCATAACTCCGTTCCCCATGAATCACCTCCAGGCAAAACAAGGGAATCGCTGCCTTACTCATGGCAACTCCCACACAGACCTTTTCTCGGAGCGGATCGCACCTGCGCGCCGCGCCGGGCCATCCAGACCTGCCGCTCGCCTGAGAATGCTGGGAAAGGGCAGTTATGCGCGACAAGGCTCCGCTCGATCAGAGCGTGCGGCGTTTAAACACGCCGGCGAAGGGGCTGGTTGGTTGGCAGGGAAGATCGAGGCGCAAAGGGTGGCGGCGGCGGCGCCTTTTCTAAGATGGGATTGGGCGCTGCGGACGCCGCTCTTGCTGCTCCCACGCTAATTAAACAAATGCAAACAAGCAAATTTAGAAGTTAGTTACAAGTCTCGCTACGTGCTACGGATTGAGGTGTCAGTGTTTCTGCCGTCCGGCGGAGTTTGTGCTGATTTGGGGTTAAACGGTCTGAATTTTTTAAAAGGCATAAACATTTGAATTTCTGCAATATTTTCACCAGTAATAATAATAGTAATAATAATAATAAAACATAGACGACTACTTTGGCAGCCTAGGGCTGTATCCAACTGAGTCAAGTGCCGGATTTACGTATAAGGTCAACAAGCTATAGATTAGGGACCCACTCAATTGGGGGGGGGGGCAAAAAAAATTAAAGAAAAAAACCCTGGATGTACATTTCCAAAATATAAGATAAAAAAGACAAATAAAATAAAACCTACATACAGCAACAGTGTTTTTTGTTGTGTAGGCTCCTATGTTGTAAGTAATGGGCCCCCAATCATTTTATGTTCGAGCTTAATAATTATTTCACTGTTAATATACTTTTCTTAATTGTTTTTCAGTTCAACAATTACTTTGATAAAATACATATTTTGTTATGTGCAAATGGCTTTAGATACGTAGTAGGTCCATAAATTACCATACTGTATAGCATATATTCAACACAAAAACAGCGACAATTTGTTGTTGACAAAGGACAGCTGGACATATAAAGGGCCCCATTACCTTCAGTAGCTTAGGGCCTCATCAAACCTAAATCCAGCCCTGAACTGAGTCCTGCTTGGAGTAAACCCACTGAAACCAATGGACTTTAAGGTAGTGTAGTCATGGCCATTGATTTCTATGGGCCTATTCCGAATAGGACTTATTTGAATACAGCCCTTGCTTTCAAGAGAGGGAGACTGCAGGAATTTGAAGTGGTATGCAACAGTCAGAAACTGAGCTGGGTGCACAGCAGGATTCCCAATGAGTGTGTGTGTGATTGGCCTGATGAATTTCTGCCTGCCCTACAGCTGTGAAACATGCAGAAAAGCAAAGTATAACATATTTTAATAAATCAGTGTAGCTAGGATTTATGGCTTTATGTTGGGGGAAGGCAGAACCGAGCTGTTAAGTACATTTTTATTTACTGGATTTGGGGGGTGGGCAGCTAACCCCCCCCTTCACCCATGATAATCCTCCCACTAACATACACCAGAAACCTTTGCCTAATTCTTGCTTCATAGCATCTCCACTGCTCACCATTCTGCAACAGAATAAAACCCTGCGAGTGAGTTCTGGATTACAGCCTCTTGCCCTAACTGCTAGGCCCTACTCCTTTCCTTAATACAGGGTCCAGAACGATAGTTAGTGCAGTAACTACTGGGTGTCACTTCCCTTCAGGGAGCAAGCAACAGAGAGGAAGAAACTGCATCTTGACTTTCCCCTCTAATTACTCTGCCCTTGCGCCCTAGTCCAGTGTTTTTTGGCTTTGGCCCCCCAGTTTCTGTTGGACTACAACTCCCATCAACCACAGCCAGCTTAGCCAACGGTTAGGGATGGTGGGAGTTGTAGTCCGGCAACATGCAGGTTGCACCCAAGGTGAAAGAACGCTGCTACATGTTTGTCACTTCATTTTACTTCCAATAATTATAGGCCACTTTTCATCACAGAGTGTCACCACCAATAAAACAATTGATCAGGTAATGCTGTGTTGAAAACGAAAACTACAGGCAGATTGTGGGGGCGGGGGAATCATAAACAGGCGTAGTACAACCTGCTTGAAATGGTCTTTGAAGTGGAAAGGTCTTAGTCAAGCACATCTCAGGAGGGAGGGAATTCCACAGAACTGGGTCCACAGAACTGAATGCTCCGTTCCTGGTGGATACGATGAGCTTCTCATCTGAGACCACAAACAGAAACGCCACAAGAAGATCTCATTGATTGGGCAGGAGGCTAAGGGATCAGGTGGTCCTGAGGTTATCCTGGACCCAAGTTTGTAAGTTAATAGAAGAACCCTGAACTTGACGCGACCACATTACTGTATGAGATCATTTCCGTAAGGGTAGCTCTGCCAGACTGTGTACACACCATATATTTAAAGCATATCCTGGGAACGCTAGCTTGTTAAGGCTGCTGGGAACTGTAGTTTTGTGGGGGGTAAACTACAGTTCCCAGGAGTCTCTGCAGTACGTGTGCTTTAAACATATGGTGTGTGCACAGCTTTAGTCTGTGGTAACAGCAGTCTTGTGACATCTTCAAAAACAAGCACATTTATTACAGCAATACGGTGGTGCGGTTAAGTAATTTTACAGTCTGGTTACATGGGGAGGGTGCCCCATCTTAAGACAGTAATGTGTGTTCCTTGACTGACTTTGGTTGGAATGTGGAAGCCAGCCCTTCTGTGTGGGGTTTTTTTTTGGGGGGGGCATTCCTGGTCATTCTACCGAGTGGGGACCTGGGCTTCTCCCGCTAATGGCACTACTTGTGGCGTAGGTTTTGCAACTCACACTTCGCTTTGATGAGATGCATGCTGCATAATCCTCTGTTGGCAGGTGCATATACAGTGGTACCTCGGGTTAAGTACTTAATTCATTCCGGAGGTCTGTTCTTAACCTGAAACTGTTCTTAACCTGAAGCACCACTGTAGCTAATGGGGCCTCCTGCTGCCGCCGCACTGCCGGAGCACGATTTCTGTTCTCATCCTGAAGCAAAGTTCTTAACCCGAGGTACTATTTCTGGGTTAGTGGAGTCTGTAACCTGAAGTGTATGTAATCTGAAACGTATGTAACTCGAGGTACCACTGTACACTGTATGGGGTAGTGGGAGAATCTTGAGGTGTGTAAGAGACGGAATCATAGCATTGGCAGGGATGATGAGGGTCATCTTGTCCAATCCCTGCAATGCAGGAATCTTTCGAACCCACAACCTTGAGATTAAGAATCTCGTGCTCTACCAACGGAACATAAGAAGAGCTTGACTGCTGCCAGATCAAGCCAAAAGCCCATCTGGCCTAGCCTCCAGTGGCCAGCTCCTGGTGACTGGTATTCAGTGGTAGACTGCCCCTGACTTTGGAGGTTCCATTTGGCGATCGGGGCTATGAGGCCACAGAGAGCAGCAAGGTGGTCATGAAGAGAGCGGGGTGGTGGTGGTGGTGGCACCTGGCTTGGTGATGGAGGGGGAGCCCAAAGGAATTAGGCGGACGCCTGGCGCTCTGCTCGTAAACCTCCCTGTCTGTCTTGGCAAGCATCACAAGGCCTGACTTGAGAGTCTGTAATTAGCTTTTAATTAATCACGCTGGAAGCCTGCTCCTGGTTTCCTCAATAGATTCCAATGTGCTGACACGGGGAAAAGAATTCCACTGGTTCCTGCTGGTCCTCTGCTGAGGACCAAAAGGAAAACAGCCTGCCTTTCATCTGTCTACGAGCTGTATTAGTTCACTAGCAAAGTGTTTCCGCGGGGAGTCTGGGTTAAAGATAACAGGAGGGAAATTGAGGCTGTGTGTGTGAGACACACACAATTACTTTGCTATATCCTGAATATCCTGCCTTCTCTACAAGGAGCTCAAACTAGTGCACATGATGTAGTATGGGGGTGATTAGAGTGTTGGCCTAGGACCTGAGAGACCAGGGTTCGAATCCCCACTCAGCCATGACACTTGCTGAGGTGACCTTGGGCCAGTTGCTGTCTTTCAGCCTAACCTACCTCACAGGGGTGTTGTGTGAATAAACTGGGGGACAGCCATGCACACCACCTTGAAACCTCCACCATGAAAATAAAACATCTGCCTCTCCCTGTGAGGTTGAGAGGAAGTTGTGTGCTTCATGGCTAAGTAGGCACTGGAACTCAATCTTTGGGGTCCTAGTCTGACACTCTAACCACTAGGCCATGCTGCCTCTCCCCCCACTACCTCTTTTGAGGTAGCTTGGGTGGGGTCACTCCCTCTCTTGAGGGTGGTCTGTAGCCTTACTTCAGAGGTTGTTGGAGAACAACTGCCATCAGCCGTTGCGGAGTTCGAATCTCACAACAGCCGCAGGTTGTTCAGTTTCCTCCTTCCTGATCTTGATTGCAAGCTCTCTGGGGCAGAGGCCTGTGTTTGTGCCTCTGCTTCTCTACAAACAACCACACCGTGCCTTCTCGAAGTCCCACATTCTGACGCTCCATCCCACTCTCCTGTAATTGTGTCACATGCTAGTGTGACCAAGAAAGTGAACCTGGGGCGGAGCTATGCAGATTAAGGTCTAGGGCTGGGGAAAGTTACTGGGCCACCAGTGATGAGGATATTTGATCTAGCCCCCTCCCCAATTACAGCTAATAATAATAATTTAGTATTTATACCCCACCCATCTGACTGGGTTACCCCAACCACTCTGGGCGGCTTTCAACATATATAAAAACATAATCAAACCATACCCTCCAACATTTCTCTGATGAAAATAGGGACGTCCCATTCCATAATGATAATTTTACCATTTATAAACCCACACATCTTATTGGGCTGGCCACTCTGGGCAGCTTCCAACATAAATAAAAACAGTGCTTTTTTCTAAAAACATATTTAAGGGTACTCTCATTTTCCTACTCATATTGAAATATTGTCCCTCAATGAGGCCAAACTTAGATTCACAAAATGTTAAGGGGTATGCGTACCCCTGCGTCCCCCCAGAAAAAAGCACTGTATAAAAACATAATAAAACATTAAACATTTTTTTAAAAAATCCTTATATATGATTGCCTTCAGATGGCTCTGTGGTCAGATAACTCCATACCCTCCAACATTTCTCCAATGAAAATAGGGGCATCCTGAGGAAAAGTGGAACATTCCTAGATCAAATAAGAAACCGGGACGTGTTCTTTAAATCAGGGAAATAGGGTCACTGGAAAATAGGGGCACTTGGTGGGTCTGTAAAACATTACACATTAAAAAGCTTTCCTATACAGGGCTGCCTTCAGATGTATTCTTAAGGTTATATAGTTACTCATCTCCCTGACATCTGATGGGAGGGCATTCCACGGGGTGGGTGCCACTACCAAGAAGGCCCTGTGCCATTTCCCCCCCCTACAGTGCCAGGCTGGAGAGCCTCTGGCCTGCCAGATGTGGCTGGACTCCAACTCCCATCAGCCCCAGCTAGCATAGCCAGTGGTCAGGAATGATGGGACTGTAGTCCTGGCAAGATCTGGCAGGCCACTGAATAGAGCAGGCATGCTGCCTGGGGGAGAGAGTGATGAGTGTAAGGAGCCCAAAACACCTGGAGGGGGCACCAAGTTGGGGAAAGGGTGCTAAACTAATAAGCTGTCAGGGAGGATGCTGTGACGATGAGGTTAAAAACTACCTTCCGCCGCTGGCATTGGGTGCCTTGGCCCTTCCTGCTGGTGTTCCCACAGGGGAGACCAACGTGTCCCAGTCACACAGTCCCCTTTTCATAACGCTGGGTACTTTGCTAGTCACAGCAGCGGGATGCTATAACTAATTGTTCTAGTTGTGCATATTGGGGGGGTTCTGTGAAAAAAGCACTCTGTACCTGCTCAGAGACACTAAGAAATTACTTTTTTAAAAAAGGAAAGAAAGCGGAGGATCTGGAGAGGATGGTTATTTTATTTTACTATTCTTTTTATATCCCACCTTTTCTCCAAAGAGCTCAATGTGGCGTTGAGCTGAGGTCCCTTTGCCCCCCCCCCAAGACAAATATTTGAGGAGGCTGCCCCCCCCAAGTTGATGGGCATTGTCATTCAAATGGTGTGTGTGCGCTGCATCTTCTGATTGATGCAGGGTGGGGTTTACCTGCCCCCCCCAAATATTTTATTCAAGTTGGCACCCCTGGATGATATACACAGTTCTCCCCCTCTCTGTTTTATTCGCACAACAACCCTGTGAGGGAGGTTAGGCTGAGAGACAGTGAGTGGCTCAAGGTCACCCAGTGAGTTTCACGGCTGAGCAAGGATTTGAACCCTGGTCTCAGGTCCCAGTCTAACCCTCTGGCCTCTGTTCCTTGCTTCATCCCCCCCCCTCCATTGATGACCACACTTCTCTCCTTTTTGTGGAACTTTGAAAAATAGCAGCTTTGATTGCGGCTCAGTTGGAACCTTGGTTCAGCTCTGGAACGTGCCAGGTGGTACAATGCCTCTGAGCACGTGCAGAGGTGCTGAGTACCTGCAGCCAGCCCTGACACATATACAGTGGTACCTCAGGTTAAGTACTTAATTCGTTCTGGAGGTCCATTCTTAACCTGAAACTGTTCTTAACCAGAAGCACCACTTTAGCTAATGGGGCCTCCCGCTGCCGCAGCACTGCCAGTGTGCGATTTCTGTTCTCATCCTGAAGCAAAGTTCTTAACCCCAGGTACTATTTCTGGGTTAGTGGAGTCTGTAAGCTGAAGCGTCTGTAACCCGAGGTACCACTGTATCTGCAATTAATATGGGGGTGGGGGGTGGGAAGGAAGAGATGTGACTTTCCAGGGAGATTTAAGTTCCAGACCCTCCTTTCAAATTGCAACTGCTTCGGAACAAAACAGTTTCATCAAACTCTTTTTAATTAAAGAAGGGGGGGGGGGGGAGGAACACCCTGACAAATTTGACAGGCTTCAAATAGCTTGCCAGTTCACTCCGGGCTCCTTGACAGATAAATCAAAATGAAACTTAATACTGTTTCCGTGCGAAGAAAGTGGCTCAAAGAAAATGTGCAGAGATTTTTCTTTTTTAAAAAAGTTTGGTACAAATGGGTTCTCCAGTCTGCAAGGTGTATCTGAAACTTTGCTTAGGTTTTTTTCCTTTTAATATAATTATTGTTGATCAGCCCCATTTTGGCTACTGATCAGCCTTTGGCTGGCCATTGATCAGCCCTTTTCTGCAGACCCGGTGAGGATAGCTTGGGTTTGGGCATCCTTTGTCTCCACGTTGCCTTTTAGCCTGGCTTGTTGTGTCCTGAGCCTTTTGTGACTCCCACTTGGCCGCTGCCTAGTGCTGAGGTGTTCTTTCTCTTTCCAACGGAGCGGAGAAGAACGGGAAGGCCGGGAAGATGTGCTTCCAGTTGGTTGGAGGGCGATTGCAACATGTGCCCTCCCCCCCCCCGCTTCCCCCCCCCAGGCAGGTGACAGGAGATGGAATTGTGGCGCCGGCCCGGAAACGCTTAATTAACTACTGGGCTGGGTTGGACTTTCCAATAACATCCCGGTTAACCGGTTCTGAGCTGTTTACTTGCTGTTACAGCTGATCCCGGGTGGTGAGGATGATAGTGGAAGGGAAGGGGGTCAGTTGTGGTGGTGGGATGGAGAAGGGAACCCCCTGACATTTTCAGTTGTGTTCCTGTAATGAGGACTAGCGCCTTTGGGGGGGGGGAGATGGGTGTTACGTGTTATTCTACGCTTCCTGTCTCCGTGTGTTTTCAGTATTGCATCCACTTACTCCACTCCTTAATTAGCCACTTAATTAAAAGTTAGGCTATGTACACCTTTAAAGCACATTCAGAGCACATTCATTCCCCCTCAAAGAACACTGGCCACTGTAGTTTGTTAAGGGAGGCTGGGAATTGTAACTCTGTTTGTGTGTGTGGCGGGGGAACTACAGTACCCAGAATTCTTTGAGGGAAAGGATGTACTTCAAATGTGTTTTAAAGATATAGTGTGTACATGGCCTTAGTTTCAAGGCAGGTTTGAGGAAGCCTTTTGCATGTTCTCGGAGTCCCGCTCACATTGGTCCCAGCCAGCATGGCCAATGTCCATTTTTTATTATTTTTATTAGATTTATATAAACCACCCTTCATCGAAAGATCTCAGGATGGTTCACAAGATAAAAACACAAGAAAACACACACAAATAAATAGTCAAAACAGAAGCAACGAAACAGTAACCCTCCTTCCCACAAACACATTTAAAATACTTTAGAATATTAATTGGGGATAATGGGAGTTGTTGTTGCGGTGGCGTGGGCCACAGGTTCCCCATCTCTGGATTAAGTGAACACATATTATAATCCTGTACCCCTTTACCTGGAAATAATCCCCATTGAATTCAGTGGAACTATGCAGTGAGGAACCTGCAGCCTTTTCAGTCCCAGCCAGCCTGGCCAATGGTCGAGCAACATGCCATGGATGCTCTAGTTGAGATCCCTGCATTGCAGGAGGTTGGACTTTATGACCCTTGGGCCATGTTAGAAATTAGCCAGACGCATTTTGCTACTGCTGTGGGTCCAGTTGCAACTAGCTGTAGATTTCTGGGCACCAGGTTGGTGACCACAGTTTAAAAACTTCTGCCTTAATCCATGGAGACCCATGTTTGGGAAACCTTGACCAGGGGGGACAAGATGGCACTTCTCAGATCCTTGAAGGCCTATTGCAGCAGTGAGGAACGTCTTGCCTTCCAGAGATTCTTGGACCACAACAACTTCCACCATCCCTACTCCTTAGCCCTACTTGCTGGGGTGAGTTGTGGTCCAACAACATTTGGAGTGCAACAGGTTCCCCACTGCTGGCCTGTCACCTCCGTGGACTCAAAGACTTGCTTCCTGCTGCTGTCCCAGAGGGCAGGTCTAACTTAATGGGATTGAGTTACAGGACAGGAGATTTCGGCTGAAGGCCAGCAGCTGGGAAGGGCAAGCAGAGAGAGGGGCTGTTGCACCCAGGTCCTGCCCGCAGGCTTCCTATTGGGGCATCTGCTGTGAATGCTGGACTGGATGCAGCGTGACTGTTTCCATGTTCTTGTACCAGTGGAAGTGACCACTCCCTTTCCCACCTTGCAGTCTCCTTGGGCGGCTATGCCCTGTGGAAGGATTTGGAGCCTTCGGTGGCTGAGCCGCCGTCGTACCCGATGCCTTTGGACATGACGATACGGAGCTCCACCTACACGGCTGCCCAGCCCCATTGCACAGCCCAGGTCCCAAGTGGGGTGCATCAGGATGAAGAGCCAGGGTTCTTGCACCCCAAGATCAAGGTATGACCTGATAAGAGGGGGAGATGTCCTACGTTTGAAGGGATTTCAGGTAGCTGCTAGTGGGAAGGGTCTGTTAGAAATTAGCCAGGCGCCAGGCGCGTTTTGCACCTGGCTTCCAGCCATTTGCGACCAAGTGAAGATTCCTGGGCTCCAGGAAGGCGCCTGACATCTCCACCATCTGGAGGAGTATGCGTGGGGATCCTTGGATCTTGACTGTTTTCACACACTAATACCCCATCCTGTAGAATTCTATTTTATCTGCACAATCTGCGGGCAGCTGCCCATGCCTCCCTCTGGCTCCATGTGTGCAAGTGAGTCTCACGAAGCCTCTTCCATCATCTTTTCTCTGCAGGTGACGCAAGGCGACGGCCCGGGGGAGCAGTTCTCCTGCCCCTACTGCAAGAAGGGCTTCTCCTACCAGCGCATGCTGAACCGCCACTTGAAATGCCACAGTCAGGTGAAGCGCCACCTCTGCCCCTACTGCAACAAGGGCTTCAACGACACCTTTGACCTCAAGCGCCATGTCCGGACGCACACAGGTGAGCTGCGGTCCTCTCTTACTTGAGAGCAGAGTTGAGGCAGGCCGGTGAAGAAGCACGGGTGTCTCCCCCTCCTGCTGCGACAAGCTCCTCTCCCCACTGGTCTCCCAGGACCAGGAGAGGCGTGAAACGGGAGGAGCAAAGTCAGGCATGCTGGCGTAGTCTCAGATTGCTTGGGGAAAACTCTGGAGAGGCGTAGACTTAGGCAGCTGCAGGACGGAGGGGACCTTTAGTCTCAGCAACTGCCTCATAGGGTCAAGACCTACTGGAGAGAGCTGCTCCGCTAGGTCTTGCCCCCATGGAGTTGCTTACTCTTCTCTACTATGCAGCAGTGATTCATTTATGGATCTGCCCTAGTTCAGTAGCAGCTGCAAAAGTACCACACCCTTCTGTGTACACGTAAAAGTGCTCTGCTTTTTGCAGCAGTTACTGATCTGCCTGCCCAAAGACGAATGAGAGGGGGTGCCAGCCTAAGAAGAAGGTGCTTTAATACCATTTGGAAAGTTGAAATGGAGCACACTCTGCTGTTGTAAGAAACAGGTCTTTCAGTGTGCCAGCACCTGTACTTTGGAACTCCCCGCCTATTGATATCAGACAGGAACCTTCCCCGTGCCCTTTTCAGCGCCTGCTGAAATTGTTTTTGTATATGCAAGCCTGTCCGGGCATGTATGAGTTGTCATGTGTTTCCATCTGGTTTTTAGCTTGTCATTGATTTTAATTAACTTTTTTTAAAAAAAAAAGTGTTTAACTCTTTTTCTGATAATCTCATTGTTTCAAACAACACATTCAAACTTTCCGATTGCACTGTTTCTCCTGCCCAAATGCCTCTGTGTTTTGGGTCCACCGGTGCACTAAAAAAAGACTTTTGTTTCCCACTCCTTGCAGGCGTCCGCCCTTACAAATGCGACCTCTGCGACAAGGCTTTCACCCAGCGCTGCTCGCTGGAGTCTCACCTGAAGAAGATCCATGGGGTGCAGCAGAGCTACGCCTACAAAGAGCGCCGCGCCAAGCTGTACGTCTGCGAGGAGTGCGGCTCTACAGCAGACAGCCAGGAAAGCCACTTGCGCCACCTCCAGGAACGTCACCCTGACAGCCCGCTGCTGCGCAAGGCCACACGCAAGACGGCTGCTGCTGTCCACGCCGGCGCGGCACCCACTCTGCTGCAGGGGGGGCCTTGCCTCTGAAATGTGTGCCTGAGTGTTTTCACGCGGGTGGGGAGGAAGTGCCTGTCCCTGTCCCTGTCCCACAATCCTTTGGCACCCCTCTTCTGCCCTCCATGCCCCCACCCCCTCTGGCAAGCACAACCCTCTTCCTAGCTCAGGGATTCTCAAAACTTCTTATGCTCCAAGTGGGAGACAGGGCTGACATTTTTATTTTGAATCACGGCACAGAGCGAGAGGGAAAAGGAGAAGAGACTATGTTGGAAGTATGAAGTCAAATGTCCTTTTTTTCCTCTGGGAGGAAGGAGCCGGAAAGCGAAACCCAGAGCGTGAACTCAAAGTGGTTTTCAGGCCCAGGAACGAGACTTTTCCAGTTGCTGCCTTCAATTCCTCCAAGGACCTGCCCTCCAAAAACCCAGTTATTTGGAGGGAATGGAAGGGGGAGGTTGGCTGTGTGGGCAGTGGTGTAGCGTGGGTTGCTAGCGCCCGGGACCACGTGGAGGGAGTGGGTGGGTGGGAGGGAAATAGATGGAGTACGCATGCACATTCGACTACCTAATGGTGTCCATGTCACCCAGGTAATCGCAGCTGCAGAGATTTTTAAAAGAGTTGTTGTCCGGAGAGGTCACTTCCTGGTTTGCATAGAGAAGCTGATTTCAACGGAGCCCAACAACGGAAGTGCAAAGCTGTATTGAGGCAGCACTGGGTGTTGAAATTTTGTGCCCCTAACAATTTTGCACCCGGGGCAACCGCCCCAGTGGTGTACACACACACACACACACACACACACACACACACACACACACTATGCCAATGTGTACGCCTCAGCCCTAGGACTTTGCATTGTTCTTCATAGTGATGCTAAGAGTGCCTTAAGAAAACCCCTCTTAAGACAGGTGGGGGGAAGCTGGGGGGGGGCGGGCGTCCTTGAGATGTTGTTGGACCCCAACTCCCATCAGCCCCAGGTCACCGAGTTCAGAAGTCAGGGAGTCCAGCAACTTTTGGGGTGCCACAGATTCCTCATCCCTGTGATCTCATGGGTTTTGTAAAAATGAAAAAGCATACCCTTAGTAGAGTAGTAGATAGTGCAGGAAAGGGCTTCTTTCTTTGCACAATAGTCATATAATCATGGAAGGGACCTCAGAGGCCTTCTAGCTCAGCCCCCCGCCCATGCAGAAAAAGTGCTGCTACAGCATTCCTGACAGGAGGTGGTCCAGCCTCTGTCCCTCCTACAGACATGTAGCTGTTGAATCCAGAGGTTTGGGTGGCTGCACATTTTCCTGATTCTGTGAACCAGATGCAGCCTCTAAGACATGGATTTCTCTCTTTGTGTACTGTAAGAAATGAATGTTAAACATGAGGCTGCCTCTGTACGAGTCCCCGTTCTGGCCTGCCAACCAGCCTCTACCGGAGCTGCAAATCCTGTTTTGCCTTTGTGCCATGGCTGTGATTGCATCCCACAGCTGCTTTCCTTTGGAAAGCAGCGGTGGAGTTTACTGTCCTGTCACATCTCTGTGCTAAGCTGCTATAGGGCCGGCCCTATCGTTGGGGAGGTTGGCTGATTTGGGGCATCATGAAACGGCAGCAAATTGTGAAAGTTATTTAAGTTAATAATGTAAATCGTATTTTTTTTATTGCGAGGGGGGTGGGAGAGGCACTTGTGGGATATTCCGCCTTAGGTGTCAAAAGTAACTGGACCAGCCTGGTGCGTTGTTGCCACGCAGGTGTGATGGAACAGTGGGAACGTCAGCATCTTAATGGGACCGGGGCATAAAGTAAATTATATGAGGGTGTGAGTTTTGTTTACATATTGGTCTTCTTCCTCGGATCTGCTGGGAACGGAGCCAGGCCTGTGAATTTTTAATGTTATTATATTATTATTATTATTATTATTCATAATCAAGGATTCTCCCTCTCATGAATGAAAATAAAGGAACTGAATATTTTGTGAGTCTGTAGGGTGCGTTGTGTTTTTGGATTCCAACAAAGCAGCCTTCAGCATCCTGGTACCTCCAATAGATGGGAGTTGTAGACCAACAACATCTGGAGGGCATCCGATTGCTGAAGGCTGCAAAACTCTACTGCTGAACGCTACAACCACATTTGCTGGGCCCAAAGGGTCTCGCTCTGGATCCAAACTGAGGCCCACATGCTGGATTTGGCCTCCAAAGAATAAGAAGGTTTCTGCCCAGTTTGGTTTGTAGGGAAGAGGAAAAAAATGTTGCTAATGCAGGAAGGTTTCTGCAATCCCTTTCAGCTATAGGCACCCAAGGCATCTCACGAAAACCTCAACTGTCTACATAAGAAGAGGGACCCTGCTGGACCAAAGACCAGTGGCTCACCTAGTCCAGCTTCTTCTTCCACAGTGGCTGATCAGATGCCCAGTCTGGGAAGCTTGGATGCGAGGCCTGAGTAGTCCCTTGGGGTTACTGGAAGGAGGGCTCACATGGGATCATATTCAGAGGCAGAAAAGGCTTTTATGTGCGGGTGTGACTAAGAGTGTGTGTGTGTGTGTGTGTGTGTGTGTGAGAGAGAGAGAGAGAGAGAGAGAGAGAGAGAGAGAGAGAGAGAGTGTTGGGGTTTGGTCTTTCCCCTTTGATTTACAGTTATTGAAAGAGGGTGAGCAGGAAAGCCCTCCTCAAGGCCATCCCAATACATTTTGGCACCTGAGGAAACCACAAAATGGCGCCCTCCCACCAGGGAAGAAGCTGGGAGTGAAGATCTACCTCAGAAACAAGGGGTGGGGGGAAGCGGCAGCAGGTGATGCGTTCCTTGGAGGCCGGATCCTGCCATCCCTGTGGATCCTAAGGTGGTTGCCTCACCTTGCCCCATGAGTGGGCCCGGCCTGGCCCTCCTTCACACATTTCTGCCTGTTTTGATACTCTTATTTAGTTATTGGATGAATTGACATATCACCTTTAAGGCATGAGTGGGTGGCAGCTTTCTTCACAAGAAAGTTTATCAATAGTGAAGCTTACAAATCAGTGTGAGCCCAAGGAGATTTACTCTAAAACAAGCCCTGTGGAGTCTAGTCCTGGTGCTGCTTGTTTCTTGGCTGAATAAAAATTCTTGTTGAGGTGGTTTTTTTTAGCTAGGGGAGCAGTGAGAGGGAAGACCAGAACATAATTACAGTGGTACCTTGGGTTACAGACGCTTCAGGTTACAGACTCCGCTAACCCACAAATAGTACCTCGGGTTAAGAACATTGCTTCAGGATGAGAACAGAAATCGTGCTCTGGTGGCGCTGCAGCAGCAGGAGGCCCCATTAGCTAAAGTGGCGCTTCAGGTTAAGAACAGTTTCAGGTTAAGAACGGACCTCCGGAACGAATTAAGTACTTAACCTGAGGTACCACTGTATGTTATGTTATGCAAAGTTAACTAAGCAACCTCCTTTTGACAGGGTTAGGGTGCTGGGGAGACAGATGCCTTGTGAGGAGTGGGGGAGAATAAAAATAAATTGGAGGACAGAGAAACAATGAAGGAGAGCAGATTTTGGGGTTATCGGCGGTGAGAATGAGATTGGCTTTGCCAGGAAAATGGAGGAGGAGGAGACGGCTTGCCCAAGAGGCACATGTTATTTTCTTCTTTAAAATGAGGACGCATTATACTGTAAACTATATATATATAAAATTATTTTGTCTGAGGATCTGAAATGATTGACATTGACAGGCGGAAACTACTTCTAATCCTTGCTTTTTAAAAGCGGCCCGGAGAACATGATTTTGTTGGAGAGCTTCACCACAAAATTTGGAGAAGTGTGAATTTTTGAAGGCCATTTGAGTTTTGGTTGGCATGTTGTTTTTAACCCTTCCCAAGACCAATTCTATTTGCCAAGAAACAGACTGGTGATTATTATTTTTTTAGTAGGTAGCTTTGTATTCCTCAACTATTTTGGCATTAAAACCTGCACATGGAATACTTGCTGTGGCCAGCAGAGGGTGCACAGATATTACACATACGCAGTGGATTTTGAAGATTACAAGACAAGCACCTAGAATAACTACAAATGCCACACACCAACTGCAAATTTTCTCTCTCACGCCGATTGCAATGGTATGTTCTAAGATGACACTTGCGGCAGCAGATATCTGGACCATCTGAAAACAAAGAAAATAGCACTTCAGGCTTCAGAAATATTGCTTTTAGGTAAAGGGACCCCTGACCATTAGGTCCAGTCTTGACCGACTCTGGGGTTGCAGCGCTCATCTCGCTTTATTGGCCAAGGGAGCCGGCGTACAGCTTCCGGGTCATGTGGCAAGCATGACTAAGCCGCTTCTGGCGAACCGGAGCACAGCACAGAAACACCGTTTACCTTCCCGCTGGAGTGGTACCTATTTATCTACTTGCACTTTGACATGTTTTCGAACTGCTAGGTTGGCAGGAGCAGGGACCGAGCAACGGGAGCTCACCCTGTCGCGGGGATTCGAACCACCGACCTCCTGATCGGCAAGTCCTAGGCTCTGTGGTTTAACCCACAGTGCCACCCGCGTCCCTACCCCAGTGCAAATTCAACCCATAGATCAGGCATGGGGAATGTCAGGGATGGGGAACCTCAGCTTCAGGGCTGAATGTGGCCCTCCAGACCTCTCTGCCTGGCCCCTGGAACTCTCCCGATGCCACTCCCCATAGCAGGCCACACCCCTCAGCAGCACTGCTCCCCAAGTGTGTTTGCCAGACAGGAATGTGTCCTCAAAGTGGATGGAGGCATGCGTGTAGAAACCATTGACTGTTGGGTGGCTGGAAGACACCATTGCTTCATCTACTTGTTGTCTTTGGCCCCCTGTCCACCTCTGGCATGATGTCAGTGCAAAGAGGCAACGCAGCCCTTGTGGGAGGGCAGTGGCTCATTGGCAGAGCAGGCAGAAGCCCTGGGTTCAGTCCCCAGTGGCATCGCCAAGTAGGGTTTGGAGAAACCCCACTGATATCTCACACCAGCTCCTGGGCGCCACTCAATATGAAGTCCAGGGTCGCCTTCCCTCTGGTTGGTTTCTGAACCAGCTGTTCAAAAGCACAGTCATTTGGGG